TAGTTTGGAATAAGCTATAGTTTTCAGAGCATTTGCTAAAAGAGCATCTCTGTAAAAAGCCAATATGAAAGCTCTGCTGGGACAGAAACCCCATGGAGTCTACACCTTCAATTTCTAGTTTTGACCTAATCTCAATATCTGCCCATAATACAGCAGCACAGCAATGCCTCCAGGATTTTAAAGGTAAAAATTCCTGAACCTTCACAATATATGACACCATGAGATAATAAGTTGAGAAATATTTAAATCTTTTAATAAACTTAGCCAAGAAGTCTTGAAAATCAGGCCGAAAAATATTATTCCTTTGTTTGTTTGTTTGTTTGTTTGTTTTTAAGATTACCAAGGGTGGTTCTCCCTGATTATCTAGTTAATTGTCCTTGACTGTTTTAATCTATTCTTAGTCATTTTTATTTTATATTATCTTATATTTTACTTTATTTTATTTTATTTTATTTTATTTTATTTTAGTGTATCTCCACAGAAGAGAAAAGCTTTGTGGCTGGGATTACAGCAAATCTGTATAGTCTATGGTTATTTTAAAAATTTTAATCTATCATTATCATAAACTTTCTTTCAGTTTGAAGATTGGTCACATTATTTTAATAAATGGGAGTATAATCATCATTCAACTGAAGCGGCAAAAGGTTGACCATTTGTATAATATTTTCATTTTTAGAAAAAAGCTACACAAATAAACAAACTGCCGATAATGCTTACTTTAGCAAATTGTCCTTTTCCAGGACAAGTTTGAGGATCACAGCAATGCCTGACCAGTCAGCCTCTATCCCTTCCAGAGCTTCAATATTCTAAGTGATAATCAATGTCCATTATGACAAGCCAAACAGTGTTGCAAGACCGTCAGCACTTTCTGAATTGCCACTGTATTAAGAATCATTTCAGTTTAGCTGTATTTAATTGTTTTTTAATAGTTCTTACCAGATCCCTGATAAGTGGTTCTTTAGTGTACTGAAATCTAGAGAGCTACTTTATAAGTTTAATGAGGTAAACTACTACTTTCAGGCTAACTGAAAAATTACAGACCACTTGTCAGAAGAGATGTCATCATTACAGTTCAGGTGACGCAATTTACTCATGAATATTCCCAGTAAGTATATACCAGTAAATTTCAATTTCTCAGATACCTGCTTTCATGCGCTAGGGTCTAGTCCATGATCTACTGTTATTCCAAACTTCCTTTACTTAAGGTAGTGTAATCTCTTCTAGATTCATGGTACATTATCCTCACATTTTGTTGTTGAAAAAAGGTGGAAATTTGAAGGTACCTGCTGAGTCCTAAGCAGCACACTATCCATCACTGAGGAAAGAAATACAACATGTAATGCATGGAGGGCTACTGCATCTTAGTGATGCACTGAAACAATCTTGTATATATTTTTTTAATTTTGTGGACTTTACTTTCTTTTTTTGCAGAAATTATGTTAGACTGAAAGAAAGGAGATAAAATTCTATGATTTTTTTCCCCAAGGGTAGCCTGCTCAATCAATTTAATAAGTCACCTGAGCCTGTTCTATTCTTTTTTTAAAAGAAACACAGACCACACGGAAAGTCATTTTGACATTTCAGTATTTCAATTATTTTAGATTTATTAGAAGGTAGGTACACTGCAAATATTATTTTACCTTGTCTTCCAGAAGACTCCATGTCTCTTGTAAAGGCTTTGGAAAAGGTCCAATTCAATAACCTGAAACTGACCTGCATTGCACTGCAGTACAGACACTGTTTTATTTATAGTCACCATCTCACACACATTTACTATTTCCAGCCTCCTGAGGAGCACAGAAAACTGTCCTGCAAGCTTAATATAGGATAAAGTATATATCAGATGACTTCCTGCTTAAAATTATTATTTTTTTAAATGCATAACTCAATTCAACTCAACAAATATTTATTGAGCATGAACTCGAATTCGGCTGCTGTTATAAAGATAATAACATAAGGCTTAGTCTTGTTTTTTGTTATACAGATCAATTATTTCAGAGGTATTTACAAAGTTCTTTAGAATTTATTTCAAAAATCTTCCTTTTCCCTTTGGGGAGTTGGAAATAACCTATTTTCCAAATAAAGGGGGGGCATTTTTTTCTACCTCATGTCTGGAATTTCCCTGTGTAATGGTGGACATACCCACCTATTGTTTCCTTAAAACAATGCTATTTTATTTCTTTAAAACAATGCTGCTTTTTTAAAAGGTTGTTGAAAGCCAGGCAATTCACCGACAATTCAAAGAAGGTGTTCAGAGGAGCAGTCTTTTCAAGATACCCAGGATATGTGGGGTGGCAGGATCAGAGAAGGAAGATAAGAACACCTGACTCACAGAACAGGGGAGGAATGACAGGATTTGACATGTGGCATACTCACCTAACACAGCAATAATAAGGTAAACACCTAGGGAAGGTGCTAGAAATTTCTGTAGGCATCAAGTCAGGTAAGACTTTGAAGCTGCAGAGTGGAAGAAGAAAAGGGATCCAGGCCAAAGGGAGGAGAAAGGTGGGTGACATCTGGGTACTGCCAGAAATGCAGCTAGCTATCCTGCGGGTTTCGGGGCAGTTCTTTTGCACATACCCTAATGCTAAAGGTTTATGGAGGATGCCAAGAGGATAGTCCTATTTATCCACTAATTCTTGTTATTGAGTATATGTGGATCTGGGATGGGGGACAGGCAGGGACAAAGAGGGAGTGACTTTTTAAAAGTTTTTTTAAAGAATATGGGAGGAGGAAACAACTGAATTTTAGACAGACTCTAAATAACTTTTATACCTTTTGACCTTGATGTACTATAACTTCTTAATTATGCCTTTTTATTTCCAACCATAGAGATGGGATTTACAATTATTAGTCTATACAACCTGATAGGGTATTTTTACAGGACACAGCTTCTCATTTTTAATTTCACATACACAGATTTCCAGGGAGATAGATTTTGATTACTAGTAACCCATCCTTTGTAAGAAAACATGAGATCGACAACGAAAACATATGTGCTTTAGTAATCTGCAATAATCAACTTCTCATATACATGAGAACTCTAAGTGATTTTCATATTAATTAGGTTTATAAATCAGTGTGAATATTAGTTCACTTATAAAAATAAATAAAAAATAGGTCTAATGTAAATGCATGTCTCCTTGAATGCAATCTGCCTCCCTCATGATATCTTTAGCAGACTCTGAGATATATTTAAATATAAAATTTCCACCTCTCCCATTTCACTGTAGCTCAATAATGAAGTTCCAATCTGACATATGATCATTAGGTTCTTTCTTAAATACAAGTTTTCAATTTTGATACACACAATCGTTTGTTTGTGTGACCCTAAAATGTACTTCTTAGATTAAAAAAAAAGGTTTTTAAAGAAACTGTGGTCAAAGGATGGCATTTCTTGATCCTTTAAACTTTACTACCTGATACAAAGTAGAGTGAGATCTCTACATAAGTAACCAAAGTAAGTAATGAAACTTCATCCCCTCTCAATAGCTAACTCTCTCTCTGAGTGTCTTAGCTTTATAATTTCATGATTCTTTGGGTAGTAGTTTGTCTTTCTATATTGCCTAAAAAAAAATAATCAGAGTAATTCTCAACCTAGAATTGCAGAGAAAAAGTGACCAATGAAGGGTAAACACCTGTTAAAAATATTAGTTTACATTCTAAAATCCCAAGACTCTGAGAAGCCTATCTAGAGAGCTACAATGTTTCTCAGTCACTGAAAAGTCTTTTATAATTTCCAGAGACAGTTTAAGCTAACCAGATGCATCAAAAGTCCCCATTCACAGAACTAAAAATACACCAATGTTTTAACAACCAGCTTCTTGTGATACACAGTTCTGATAACATTTTCAAGTTTCATGAAATATATTAACTTTGAACTTAATTGAAACTACCTTACACAAGAGTTTTGATAATTTCTTATATTTTTCAGTCTGAGTAAAGAATTCTGATTGAGGAAATAGAAGAGTCACTCTGCCATTTTATATCATTATGTAGATTAAGACTGTCACTTCTCCTCCATTAAAAAGCAAGAGAGGGGGTGGCTGGTTAGCTCAGTTGGTTAGAGCATGGTGCTGATAACACCAAGGTTGCCGGTTGGATCCCCACATGGGCCACTGTGAACAGTGCCTTCCTTGATAGATAGATAGATAGATAGATAGATAGATAGATAGATAGATAGATAGATAAAAGATGATAGTTTTGTAAAAAAGTAAAAAATAAAAAGCAAAAGAGCTAAAAAATTCTACCAACTGACATATCTGAACATTTTCGGCTCCTTCTAAAAGATGAAAAATCATGTCAGACAGGAAACATATTCTTTAGATTAGTGGCAGGTGTAGGACAAGCACACCAGTCAGCCTTTATTTCAGCATCAGTAGGCACACTCAGCAAGAGAATGCAACTCTTCCTTTGCATTAAAGTGACACATATCATATTATTCCTTCATCTACACATCACCAAGCAGAAAAGTTCCCAAGCAACAAAATGACTCGATCTTGGTTGAACGCCAGACTATTCTTAAAAAATAAAATCTCAGTATTAAAGAGAGAGAGATGATGATGATGATGATGATGAGGATGAATCTAGTTTAAGAAATTCTTTAGAAGGAAGGAGAGAGAGTTGTCTCCATTCTGATACTAATTTCTCCACAGAACAGTAAACATATTCTGGAAGTGAAAAATGTAGCAGCTTTAGTTAGAAGTTAAATGATTTAGATGGCAGCACAATAACGTGGTTCAGGCAGCTCTTAAAACTGCAGTAGAAACTGGGTACCAGTGAAGTAAGAGTTTCAAAGGAAAAATAAAGTAAAATAAAAGCCCTCCTCTCACCCCACAAGGCGACCACCACAAACTAATTTTTCAGTTCCAGCTTCTTTTTTTCCCCAGTCAAATAAACAAAACACATCAAAGCTGTAAAGCTATGACACTACTGAGGATGAATCCTGGAAAATGGGAGAGTAAAGGCATCTCTAATACCAGTTGGGACTTAGTATTTACCTGCTCTGATCCCAGTTGGCAGCAAAAAGGACTAGGATCTTCCTGCCATAGTGGTCCAGATTGGCCAGGCCCCCGGGGAAACCATCCTTCAGTGCCTGCTTGATGCCAGGGTCAGTGGCCTTGAAGCTTTTGAACATGTCCAGGTTCTGCTGCCGGTACTCAAAGTACTGGGCCAGGAGGCGGAAGGCCTCAAAGTGATGAAACTTCCTGGCCCGCAAGAAGCGTAAGATGAAGGCATCATCCGTGCGCAGGAAGCCAATGTCCGGCCTGGTTATGACCATGTCCCTCACCTCCTGGATGTCCTGGTGCAGTGTGTCTGGGTTCTCGTTGAGCTCCAAGCGCGCTTTCTCCAGGGTCTCCGGAGAGAGCCCAGCTTGTAAATGAGTCATTGTCCTACTTGTTCCCGAGCCTTCCCTTCCTCTTAACGACTGTCCCACAACAAACCTGGCCCTGCCACCACCACTCTCTGACCTCCAGAACTCGATGCTGCCTGCTTCCTCCTCTTTACAGGAAATGATTTGTCTTGGTGCCCAATCAAGTACCCTGTTGCTCCTGCCTTCTCGCAGCCTTTCTGTGAAGGGTATAAACTTATTCCCCCACCCCCTAAAAACAACGTCCCCACTGTGGTTCCCTCTTCCCTTTCCTTTAAAAAGACGTGGACCTCTGGCGGCCCCAGCGCTCCCCTTGCCCTTTCCCTCGCCTAACAAGACACCCCGAATCGCACCCAGCGCGGGTGGTGCTGATCTTGGTCCTGTCTGCTTCTCTCCCAAGATGTAGCAAAAACAAACACCACGCACATCTCAGCCCCAGCGCTGTGGTGATGCTTCTGCGGTCTCTACCCGAAGGATGCTACTGCTGGGGACAACGATGGGAATTCTGATTAATAATAAGGCGGCTCTTCAGCGCTGAGCTGCAGGCGGGGAGAGAGAATCTCTGCCGGAAAGAAAAAGGAGAAAGGGAAAGAGAGGCGGGTGGAAGAAGCTTATTCCTCCTTCTGCTTATTAAAGATTATTTTCAAAAGACGTTTGTGGGGTTTCACTGAACATTATTATAATCCAATGAGGCGGAGACTCTGCAGATAGCACAGCCTCCCTCCTCCCCTCTTAGCTACACCGTGATCTCATAAGGCACCAAAAGGGCTTCTGGTGGCGTTGGCACCAGCGTGGGCTCCCCCACCCCCACCCCCAACTTCTGCCTTCCTCTAGCCCTTTATTTTCAACGGAATTGCTGCGGGAGGCCTGAGGGGGGTCTCTCCGGGAACGTACATTACAAATGCGGGGTGCGGGTGAGGGTGGAGAAGCAGAGTGGGTGAATAAAATCAAAATGTCTCTACCTTTTCTATAAAACCCCAGCACAAGAGAGAAGAAAGAGCAGACGGCTCCTACCAGCAAGCCCGGAGGCGGGGACGCTAAGCAATGCGGCACTCCCCGGCGTCCATCAGCCGCGGCTTCGGCAACGGAGTGGCGACAGCAGCCTCAACTCCTCTGGGTGGGATGGATCCCGCAGAGAAGAGGGGCGGTAGCGGGGACCCTGGCCGCAGACGCACTGGGGAGCAGCCGTGGCCACATCGTCCGCGAGCAGCCGGCTGCCACTCCCAGCAGGAGGGGTGGGGGTGCAGAGCTAGGGCCACCGCTGCCCCGGGTCCTCGCCCAGCCCTGCCATTCTCGCCTTCAGGAGAGAAGGGAGAGGGAATCGAGCGCCTGGGTGCCGAAGGCCACACAGGCGGCCGCCGCCTTTGTGAGCCCGGGGCCGCCGGGGCGCGGTGGGCGCGGCGGGGCTGCTGCTGCGGGGCGCGGGCCTCCGGCTGTGCGCGCCGGGCGGCGGGAGTCAGGCGCGCCCCTCCGGCGGCTGCCGCTAATGCCGCCGCTGCCGCCGGTGCTAAAACAGGACTCCGCTCAGCCCAACTCCTAATTATCCCAGCGCGGATCTCGCTGCTACGTAAGCACTCGGCTCGCGCAGGCACTGCTCGCCTCTCTCCCAGACTCGTTTGGGTAGGACAGCAGTTTCGGTGGCATTCGATATCCCGAGCCCCAAGTTTAGCCTACTCCGAGTCCCCACACTCCGCCCCCCCCCCCGCGCCCCCCGCAGCCTACTCCGGCAGACAGCGCCTGGGCGGGCGGGGCAGCAACGCCTTGCAGTCTCCCGACACCTTTCTCACCCTTTGTGTGCAAGACCCCGGAGCGGCCGGACGAGGAAACTTATAGACGGCAATTCCCATTGACACACATTTTCCAGTTCCTGCGGGAGGTAATTTTGATGTGGATGGAGTACGGACACGTCGTGTACTTTCTGCATTTGTTGTTAATAGAAATGTTGCATATAGAAAAGACCAGTGTTTCCCATGCATTGTGTTGATGATTAAGCCTCCGGAGGAACTTATGTGAATAGTATTTCAACCATAAACTCTGGCTGCTCAATTCCTATTGAAGATGATTAAAATGGGCGGGGGGGGGGTCCAGGGGAGGGGGAACAGTTCTTGGAGGAAGGGAAAATAGGCACTCCTTGACTCACTTCTTATCTCATAATAAAGCAAATATTCCTGAAGACACATACGATTGTTCTCTCAGTTTTATACATCTGTACGCTAGAATTATCATAAATGATCAGGAGCCTTTAAAACTTAAGATGACTCTCTACAGGTTTGAGGAAAAAGAATGTTTTCTATTTTCAAAGCAGAGCATGCGTTACTGAACATGTCACTAAGAGCAACCTTTGGTTTACCAACTGAAGAATGGGGTCCTGAGTTCAAGTCGACTCAACGCAAGAATATTCACTGACTTTTCACTATGTGTGGGGCATCGGCCGATTCTGTGGATAGATGATCTTAAAGATAAGAAAATATTGTCATCTTTGATGATTATTAGAACCCTCAGGTTACAGAAACATTTTTTGTTGTTCTCATGGCAATGGTGTTGACAAAAAAAGAAAAAAGAAAGAAAGAAAGATGGCAGACCTATACCATTTTATTAGTTAAATTAATGCAAAGTAACATAGGAATCACAAGAAGAGACTAAATCACACACACCCACAAACATAGTCATTAATTCTCAAGGAATTTACATTTTAATTGGGGAGGCAGAAAATTAGCCATACAGATATGTGTGTATTATATATATATGCACTATGTATATTTAAGGTCCTTCTAGGATTATGTGATTATGACTGTCCAAAACATTCTGAATGCAATATGAACTGTCAAATAATTTGGTTCTCATTTCAAGCTTTTTCACTCATTTTGGGTCAGTGTTCTAGCCATTGAAGAAAAATTGTCTCATATCAACTGTAGAAAGGAATTTTAGCTATCAGCCAACATTGAAAGACAGCTCTCCATGGATCTCTTGTATTTCTGTATGTCTCATGAGCAAGCCATGAGCTGCCGTTTTTACCAGACTATCTTTTCAAGCCTGCATTTATAGTGAACAGCCTTTGAACAGCCTTGGAAGCTAGAGATAGTGTTTTCATCTGCACAAAGGGTAGGTTTGCTTAGAGCTTTGGAAGACAGAGATAGTGTCTCTCTCCTGAGCAAAGGGTAGGCAGGCTTATTTGAGTTCCCTCAACTCAGAGCTACTCTCCTGTAACACCACCCACTGTGTGGGCAAATATTACCTGATGCTCTTCTCTTAGGCTTGTGGGAATTGGAGCTCAGGAAACCAGCACAAAATATGCTGATGCTCCTACTACTTGCTACACCTGAATGATAGCCTTTTCTTTCTAACACAGGAGTTTTGCATCTTCTACCAGCATCCATGTACTATGGCCAGCTAACTTGTTAGCTTGCAAGTAGGGTTACATTTCACAATTTCGAGGTGCTTAATAACCAATTGCTTAATTTTGTTCTCTCAGATGGAAATATTAGACTATGCTTTTAGAAAGAAACTTACAAAATTAAATTTGTTAGTTGATTATATGGTGTTACCTATATTTAGTGATGATGTTCTTATTTTTATCAATTATAGAATTGCTTCAAATAAGGTTCATTTTAATATATCAATATGATATAAATAGCCTTCATCATACAGTAAGGTTATTAGAGTAGGTCAATTAAACACATATAGAAATATTTTTCATTATATGATTATTTACAAATTATTAAGTCCTTCCTCCAATGATTGTACTATTATTCTCTCTATATTTATATTTTGAAGTCCATTCTAAAACTGAAATAAATACCCAAAGCTGTCTAAGAATTTAACAAGGTATTTATCCAGATGATGTCAGAGCATTTGATTCTCATTCAATATTAGTTTACTTTGCCAAATTAATGCAAAGTAATGAAGGAAGGAGAATGCGAGAACAAATTAACCAAAACAGGATTAATTGAAGCATTATTGGAAAAATAATTAAATCAAGGACTTCAGGTGTTTTCAAGCAATCTGAAAGGACCTTTTGGTTTACTGCTGTATTTAAAATGAGTAGAGTAAGTAATTTATGTTTTAAAACATTGTATCCCACATATATATATATATATATATATATATATATATATATATATATATATATATGCGTAGAGAGAGAGAGAGAGAGAGGGAGAGAGAAAGGGTAAAAAATAATGATATATAGCTCAATATACATTACAAAGCAAACACCTGTGTGAACACCTGTCCAGGTTAAGGGATAGAACATAGCCAGTACCCAAAACATCCTCCTTTCTTTCCCTCCTAACTACTGGCCTCTTCTTCACAACAAAAGAAGCCACTCTATCTTCATTTTTTTTTAAATAAAAGAATGTTTTTTCTTTAAAACTTTACAAACTAAGTCACTATGCACTACAATTTAGATTTTCTTGGGCTTTTTTATTTTTTAATTTAAGTGAATGTCATCATTCATATGTAATTTTATGATTGGGTGCTTTCATTCAATACTTAGTTTGTGAGATTCGCTGATGTCATTTTGCATAGTTAGTTCATCTATATTCAATGATGATGCATAGAATTGTATTTTACAAACAATATACTTATCCATTCTACTGCTGATGAAAATTTGAGTTGTTTTCTATGTGGGACTATTGTAAGTCATGATATATGAGTATTCTGGTACATATCTTTTATTTATTTATGTATTTATTTGTTTGTTTATTTATTTATTTATTTAAGATTTTTATGGGGAATTAGGGAAGGAAAACAGACAAGTTGCAGTCCTTTTGTTCTTCAGTCTAGTTGTGGACGACATCGTTTCACTGGCCCATGTTGGTATTATCATTGTTCTCTTCCCAGTAGAGGCAGTCGCTCACCGACCATTGGACGCCCTGCTCACGGTGGCTCACAGCAGCTCACAAAAGCTCACACCCGCTACTGGCCAGCCTATACCATCGCCGATGACTCATGGCAGCCCAGTTCCAGGTCGAGCTGTTGTTCACCATTTTAGCTGTAGAGGGCACAGCGTCACTGGCCCTCATGAGGGATCCGAACCAGGGCCCTGCTGCTCAGAGCTGGCATCCCAAGCCAACTCCTAACCAATGCACCACTCGGCTGGCCCCTGGTATGTATCTTTTAGTGCACATGGACATACCTAGGAATGAAATTGCTAGGTTGTATGGGATGTGTATCTCTAAATTTGACAAATAATGCCAAACTATTTTCCAAATGGTTGTGCCATTTCACCATCCCCCCAGCAGTGCGTGAGATTTCTCACTGAGCCATAGTCTCACAAGTTCTTATTATTGTCTTCCATTATGACTTTATCAGTTCTGATTTTGAACACGGATTTTGCATAGTGGTTTTGGTATTCCCTCCCATGATTACTAATGAGGTTGAGCAAGTTTTCATAATTTTTAGGCATTTGTATAATTTTTGGTGTGAAGTGTCATTTCAAAAATTCTGCCCATATTTATAGTAGGTTGTTTATTGTTTAATTATAACTTGTAGAAGTTCTTAATATATTCTTACTATAAACCCTTTGTCAGTTCCAAGTGTTGCAAATATTTTCTGTGGCTTGCCATTTCACTCTCTTAATAGTGTCTTTTGATTAACATAGTTTTAAATTTTAACATAGTTCAATTTTTTCCCTTTGAGTACTGCTTTTTGAATATTGTTTAAACGGGTCACTGATATTACCTTCTAGAAGTTTTATTGTTTTTCCTTTCATATTTAGACCTGCAATTCACCTGTGACTGAGTTTAATGCATGATGTGAGAAACAGATCAAGTATTGTTGTTTTTTTCTATATGAATATCCAATTGATTCAGTACCATTTGTAGAGACTATTTATTTTTAAAAATGTATTTTTTCCTGCTGAACAAAAGAGCTTTCATTGCCACAAAATAATTGCCCATATATCCATGGATTTAATTCAATATTAATTTTACACCCCACAAGACATCATTGTTGTATACAACCAATATTCCTCAGTGGTTCTCAAAGTGTGAACTCCAGACCAGCAGAATTAGCATCATCTGGGAATTTGTTAGAAATATGAATTCCCACCCCTGATGTACTGAATCAGGAATCTTAGTGCAGGACCTACCTCACAATGTTT